ACACTTTGAATCTCTTCTCATTTTCTTCTGCGTTTATTCTATAGATACTTTCTGTATGGTTACCATGGAGATTACATAAAACATCTTAAAATTACAAGAATGTTAAACTAATAAGAATGAGTTCAGGCCAGCAGGTGGCATGGTGGTTAAAGGTGTTGCACTCCCACATGGCCAACTACAGTTCAAGTCCTGGACCTGGTGGCTTGCTTTCTCACTTTCTCTGTGTTTCTCTCTGATCAAACTGGGGGATAAAAATAATAATAATAAATAAGGTTAAATAAATAATTCTTTTTTAAAAAGAACAAGTTAAATCATATACAAATACTCTACTCCTTTACAATCTACCCCCCACCAACTTTGTTATTGTTGTCACAAGTTACATTTTTATATTATTGTATACCCATTAACAAAGACAGTTTTTTATGCTTTTGTCATTTAAATATAAAAAATTAAAAGCAGAGCTAAGAATCCAAGTTGTAATAATACTGGTCTTCATAGTTGTCCATACATTTACCTTTACAGAACTTTATATTTTCATATGGCTTCCAATTTCTGTCTAGCATCCTTTTCTTTTAACTTAAAGGACTACTTTTAGCATTTCTTATAGGGTAGGCTAGATGTAATAAACTCAGTTTTTGTTTATCTAGAGATGTCTTCATTTCTCCCCTATTTTTGAAGAGTAATTTTACCAGATATATTTTTTTTCTTTCCACACGTAATTCTATTTCCTCTGGCCTGCAAGGTTTCTGCTGAAAAATATAGATAGATAGATAATCTTACAGAGGCTCCCTTGTATGTGACAAATCACAAATCACTTTTCTTGAGCTGGTGTTTTCAAGTTCTATCTTTGACAGTTTGATTATGTGTCTCAGCGTGGGTCTCTGTTGGTTTATCTTGCTTGGAGTTTGTTGAGCTTCTTGTGTATTCATTTCTTTCCTCAAATTGACAAGTATAGATTTTTGTCAAGTCAGAGGCCTGTATTTTTCTTGAATTTTATTTATTTTTATTTTTCCATGAATGAGAGAGACAGGATCCTAATATGTTCTCAGTGCCCAGCGTCAGCCAGCCCCAGATCATGTGCATTTGTGTGCCCAGTGTACTTAGAGGTGTCCAGACACAAACCCAGAAGTGTCCGACGTGGGCAGCCTCACAGAGTGTCGTATTACCTCACTGCAACACCATCCAGCACCCCCTGTGTTTTCCTAGGGTCAGTTTCTCGAGACTTACTTTGTTTCTGAAATTGGATCTTGCCTCCCTATTTCTTTGTATGCCTGTGCTCTTGATGAAAAGTGGGCATTTAAAAAGACAGGGACCTTTCCCGGCCTTTGCAGACTTTCTCTATACAGAGGAAGACCGTCACTAATCAAGCCAGGCTTACAAAGGCTGAGGGTCTTCCCGAACCATTTCTAGGGGTGCGTCTTCCCTCACACGTGCACATGCTTGAATTCCAGTGCCTTGGAATATGTGGCTGTTTCCAGATGTGCTAATTTCCGTAGTAGTCCTGCCCTGCATCTTCTCAGGGACTCAGATGTCGTACTGTGTTTCTCTGCCCACAGTCCTTCCCCACAGCACTTGTAATTCTGTACCTCCATGCAACTCTCTCACCATGGAGCCCACCTCTGTCCTCTTCGGTGCTTGGAGTCATGCAAGTCAGAGACCAGTTTCTTGTGCGGTCACAGACAAGTCCGAATACGGAAAGCAAATTCCACTTTTTCCTCTCCATCCTGGGGTAGGAGCTGGAAATTGGGTGGCATCCTTAAAGACTGCAATGAGGAGGAGTGAGGCAAGGGTGAGCAAAACACCAGGAAATTTCCTACCCTTTAGAGTGTCACTTTTTCTGGCTAGGCACGCACTCGGTTGCCGCTGCTGCTGCTTATCTGGTTTCTAGAGTTTTCACAAGGTGACTTTGGTCAATGGTGCGGTGTGTTCTGTGTTCCTGGAGGATGAGGTCCTGGAGCTTCCTAGTCTGCCACCTTGTAGATGTCACTCTGCCGTCTTCCTCTGGGCTTTGACCAAGATATTTCCAGTGCTCCCTGTTCTGTATCTTGTCCAGCATTAACAGCTACCCCACCCGCATCATAGTTCGGAATTGCCTGATGTGAAGCACCTACCTACTTCAGTACGTTGGCATCAAGTGCCAACACTGGACTCCAGAGGAGAATCCCCGTTGGTTTGGATGTGGTAACCCGCTGTTGAATTCGGCTGACTGATACATCTGGACCCGTGACATTTATGACCAGTGTCAGACTGTCAAGCATCTGTGTTTGAGTATGCAGTTGCCTTCTCATTTCCCTTTCCTGTTGATCCTTGAGGAGTTTTAGTATGCCAAGAAAACACTAACTTCACTAAATGTATTGGGAAGAAGAAGGCTTCATTTTTCCATTCTGGAACAGTTATGGTAAGTTTTTACAACTTCCCTATAGAACTATCTAAGCCTGGCATTTCACTTTTTATTTTAACAAACTTATTTGGAAATAGTTACAGATACACAAGAAGTTGCACAGGGAGAAGTCCTGTGTGCCTTCCGTTTGATTCCCTCCATGGTTACATTTGCCATAATTATAGCACAGTGCCAAACCCCAGAAACTGGCCCTGGTAAAGGTGTGTACATAGATCTCTGACAGCCTGCCACATGTCGAGGGCCATGGCACCACCACTGCAGTCAAGATTCAGAAGTGTCCATGACCCGAGCTCTCTGTACAGTCCCTACACCGTCGCACCTGCTCCTCTCCCTGGCGACCACTAATTTGCTTCTGTCTTTATCATTTGTCATTCAAAACTGTAATATCAATAGAGTCATGTAGCATGTGACTTTCTAAAATCGGATGTTTTTCACTCAGCATAAAGCCCTTGAGATGCAAGCTGTTTTGCTGCAGCCCTTGATCGGATGCGTGTCTTACAGATATTTTCCCTTAGTCTTTAACTTGTCTTTCCAGTCTTCCACAGAATAAGAGTTTTTCATTTCTGATGAAACCAAATATATTTTTTTCTTTTATGAATCAAGCTTTTGATGTCACGTCTAAAAACACTTTGGAAAGCTAGACCTGTTGTGTTTTTGATGTTGTTGTTGTTGTTGTGTTGTTTTGTTTTGGGGAGGTATTTTGGAGAGGTTTTTGCTATAGGGCGTGTGCACTCACCAGAAAGACAGAGACAGAGAGACAGAAAGTGAGAAATCACCCCCCGGGGGGGTGGCCACACCACAATCCCTTCTCCTCCATTTTCCTCTCAGGATCTTGGACACACACGCACATGAGCCCAGCATGAGTTTAAGCCACTGGGTCCGGGACTTGAACCGCAATTGACTACATGGGAGTCCAGCAACATAGCCGTTATGCCAACTGCTGGTCCCGCAGATAACATTTTAAACTACTGATTTGTTTTATTTAATAGCTGTGAGTTTTTTTAGACTTAACTATTCTCAAACCAGTTCAGACCAATTAGATTTTCCTAGGAGGTAACCGAATCGATGCACTCCAATTGACCAGCAAAGTTATTTAATGTCTTCTGAAATCTCTGCGGGGCCTGATGGTTAGACCCCTGGCTTGTTCCTTGTACGGTTTTTGTCCCTCCCACCTCTTCTCTTGCTGCCTATTTTTTCTTTCTTTCCTATTTTGTTCATTTCTCTTGCCTCGATTTGTTCCTTTTCTTTCCTTGGTTTATGCTAGGGGCCAGCCACCTCCCTCTGCAGACGACCAGAGAGTAAATATCTCCAGCACCGTGGGCCTGTGGTCTCCACTTCGGACACTCCGCGGAGCAGGAAGCAGCCGCAGCCGTGTACGGACGGGTTGGGGGCAAGCTCTGTTAAGACGTGCTCCGACAGCTCAGGGCTGTTTAGCTCATCAGTCTGAATCGTTGAATTGGGCATAAGGTCTAACCTGACGCCTGTATGCTCTGAAGGCTCTAAAGATGTGTCCACTGTCTCTGTCACTGCTAGTGGGGGATCCGTTGTCTCCTGTTCCTCTGTGAAACTTCACCTCTTTTCCTTCCTCTTTAGTAGCTTTTAGGACCCCTTATTTAGTTTTTCTGCAGTTCCACCCTCCTGGGTTTTGCTGTGGTTTTCTTCGTCGTATTTGGGACACCTCATGCTTCCTGACTCAGAGGGGTCCCATTTCTCAGATGTCATTAATCATTCTGGAATTTCGTTAGACACATCACACTCCCTGACATGTTTTCCAGCTCGTGAGCTTCGTTCTGTTGAATCTATTAATCTTTTAGATTTCTGTGAATAGTCCTCATTTCTAGAAATGACTGGAGTTGTGCTTACCCCCTTCAGTCTCTCCTCTTCTGTCTTTAATAATCTCGGGCAGTCTCTGAGTCTGTTTGCTGAAGGCCTGGGGGGTCCATTCCTGCCGGTCATTGTGGCCGCTTGGT